AGATACTCCTTTGTGATAATTGTTTTTATGATATTAAGTCTTCCAACCAGAAAATAGCTTATCCGCCTTATTCAGATTTCATTTACTTCAAAGTATTTTTTATTTTTATGTTACTATTTACATTTTGTACCTAGATATCTTTTCATTTTAGGATTACTTTTTCATTTCTGTATCTAACTAGTAGTTGTTAGTGCAGAAAAAAATAATTTTCATATATTCCTCTTATATCCAGCACCTTACTGAATTATCTTAATAACTTTAGCACTGTTAGTAATTCTGGCATTGCCTCTTCACTGAGCATGTAAGAGTAAACAAGACGGGTGGACCCTGCTGTTCTCCAGTAATAACGCTGATGAGGAAAATAGAAAATGGACAGACAAAAAGAAAACTTATGCAATTGGAAAGAATTAAAATAGTGACAGTACTAAAAGTGAGACGGTAGTCAGGGAAGACCTGCCTCTTTTTTTAAAACTTTATTTTTATGTCTGGGCACGGTGGCTCACGTCTGTAATCCCAGCACTTTGGGAGGCTGAGGTGGGCGGATCACGAGGTCAGGAGTTCAAGACCAGCCTGGTCAACACGGTGAAACCCTGTCTCTACTAAAAATACAAAAAGTAGCTGGGCATGGTGGCAGGCACCCGCAATCCTAGCTACTCGGGAAGCTGAGGCAGGAGAATTGTCTGAACCCGGGAGGCGGAGGTTGCAGTGAGCCAAAATCAGTGCCATTGCACTCCAGCCTGGGTCACAGGGCAAGACTCCGTCTCAAACAAACAAAAACCACACACACACACAAACAAAAATTCTTTTTATTTGTATTATTTTTAAATTTAGAGACTGATTCTCACTTTGTTGTCCAGGCTGGTCTTGAACTCCTGGGCTCAAGCAATCCTCCCGCCTCGGCCCGGCAATTTGCTGGGATTGCAGCCATGAACCACCACACCTGGCCAAGACCTGCTTCTTGGAGAAGGTGACAACATGCTAAGCTCTAAACGGAAAGAACTTTCCACTTACAGGAATGAATGGCACTACAGGTTCTTCCTGCCCACTACAGACAAAACCAATTCACTGAGAAGTGCTACTGCAGTATAGAGTTGTATTAATGTGAGGCTGGCCTCAGGGAAGAAGGGTTACCACTCAAGGAAGTTTTCCTGAAGGGTCAGCTCAGAGGTTAGGGTTTTTCAGCTGGTTTGGTGTGGGCAGAGCAACAGGGAATGGGTGCTGCTGATTGGTTGGAGATGCAATCATAGGGGTGTGGACTACACTCCTCAACAGCTGAGCCCGCCTCTTTGGGGAGGAGTGGGGCAGAGGAAGCGGTTGGGTCATGAGTCACGAGTCCGGGTGGGGTCAGTTAGTTGCCAGAATGCGAAAGTCTCAAAAATGCCTCAAAAGACCAATCTTAGGTTCTACAATAATGACGTTACCTACAGGAGTAATTGGGGAAGTTACACATCCGATGTCCTCCGAAACAATGGCTGGTTATCGTTTACTACATTTTAGCAGAATTCGCCCCTCATATTCCTAACCTCCCGGTCTTTCATTAATTTCATAAAGACAGTTTCAGCCCCCGAACAAGGCGGGGGACTGTTTAAGGGAGGGGCTATGCTCATCCTTGCTTAAAAGTTAAACTGTAAATTCTCCCATGGTGAGCTTGGTTTATGCCCAGGAATGAGCGAAGACAGCCGCCCTGCGAGGCTAGAAGCAAGTTGGAGTGAGCCATGTTAGATTTCTCTCACTGTCTTTGAAAAGGCGGTTTCCAGGAACAGCGTTCAGAGTAGGGGAGTTTCTATTAGGCTCCTTTTGGTCATTTTTTTCTAGTCCTCCGATTCTGAGATCTTCCCAACCCTTTTCTTGGCGACTCAACTCCCGCTGTCCTTGCCCACGCGGCTTCTCGCGGCTGCGCGAGACCCTGCCCAATCCGAAACGTTTCACAGCTAAAAGGGTCCCAACTTCCGGAGGCCGCCCGGAAGGGGCGGGGCTTATGGGAGCTCATTTGTACGCATCGGCCCGGCTGTCTGAAGGCTGACGGAAGTGCTGTATGTTGTTGCCGGAAGTGGGAAGAGAGAAAGGTTGTGATGGCGGCTGTCGCTGCATCCGAGGTGAGTTCGAGCGACTCTACACCGGGGGTTTTGTTGGTGAGGGTTCCGGGGAGCGGCCTGGAGAGAGGTGGAGGCGAAGTCTAGTTTCGCTTCAGGGAGGCTCAGACACTGGGATCAAGTCGGCGGTGGAGGCCCTAGGCCCAGCCTGTGGGGACCGGCGGGGACTCGGCCTGGGCCGTCCTGGGAGAAGCCGAGCTGGCTCTGCCTGAAGCCAGTTCTCTTTGCCGCAGGTGCTGGTGGACAGCGCGGAAGAGGGGTCCCTCACTGCGGCGGCGGAGCTGGCCGGTCAGAAGCGCGAACAGAGACTGCGCAAATTCCGGGAGCTGCACCTGTTGCGGGTGAGTAGTCTTGGAGGCCGGCTCAGATCCGTCACCTGGCCAAGCCTTTGCGCTTTTGTAGAGGGGACGAGGAAGCCACACCACTGCGTCTGACAGACCAACAGAGCAGGATCATCTGAGAGGAAAGCTCTGTTCGGTGGTACTCAACCCTGGCAGCACATGGGGATCGTTAATGAGAACTTTTGAAAATATACCTGTTCACTCCAGCCCCCCTCATACCCACATCCAATTTAATGTATCTGGGTTAGGTTTGCGAGTGTCCATTACTAACAACCTCCCTGCTCTGTGATTCTAACAAATTCTTCATTTTACCTAGGGAAATATGTAGAGCTAGAGACAGGAAGAAACTTGTGTCAGTAAGAGACCTGGTTCACTTGATTTAAAAAATAATCTTCTATCAGAATCTGTTTGAAAAGGGAGAAAATAATCATCTGTCTCTAGGACTTCTAGGGGAAAAGAATAAAAAGAAAATTAAAAAAATAATGGGAAACCTTTGAAAGTCTACAGCGTGGTAGTTCAGCCAGTTGATAGGGAATCGGATGTCTTAAGTGCCCTGGAAGTGCAGAGGAGGAGAGATGAATGCAGTTTGTGGGTCTCCAGGGGGTGCTTCGTAATAGGTGACACCTAAACTACTGTTTGAAAGCCAGACAACTAAAGGAGTTAGAGAAAGAGAATCCAAGCAAAGGGAACAAATTCAAAGAAAATTTGTATTAGGGATAAGAGTCCAGCAAATAGCTGGCTGCAGTTGGAGCAGAGAAAGAGAAAAGCAGCCCCTATTTCAGCATGGAGTGACCTGACAGGCCATGGGTTCACAAAACCCCAAAATCACTCTGACTGTTGTAGTGAGACAAAACAAAGAAGACTTCTCGAAGCACAAGAATGACCACGTATTTCTTTATTCTGGCTAACACCAGTGACAGTTATTACCAAATACAGCATTAGTCTCCGTTACTTCTGCCTCCTATATAAAAATTTAAGATACCTAATTGTAGAAAGCCTCTGCTTTCTGACAGTACTCAATCCAGATCCTTAACCCTCCCCCCAGTCACCTGATACAAACCCAAATCCTGGAACGAGCCCCTTCTAACGCCCTTCCACTCAAATGCCCACAGTTCCCCGTGGTTTGCTCTCTTCTTCTATGCAACAGACTCAACTTTGTTGACCATATGTGTGTTCTTGGTGTCTTTAATTGCAGGACTTTTCCAGAGCCAAGAATATACTAGGGATGGTTGTTGGGAGGAGTATCTCTCTTTGCCTAGGGAAAGTTAATCTAATAAACAATTAAAAGGACATGCTTAAATATTTAGAATGATTGTGTAAGGAACACATGTTTGGAAATTAGGAGGCAGGGCTTCATGGACAAACTGCCACCAGCTTATGACCTAAGAAATGTCTAACTTAAGTTTTTCTTAAGATGGTATACTCATTTTGTTTTATACAATTAGGTTTATTTAAAAATAGACACCTCTCCCTGCTACCCCAAGCTTCAAAAAAAAAAAAAAAAAAAAAGACTCTTCAATGGTACTTCAAATTCCTTTCATTTTTCATTTGCCAATGTAAACTGAAAATATTTTTAAAAGGAGGGGAACTTGGAAAGCATTAGAGGCATTAAGATAGGTATTAAATCCTCTAACCCAAATTGAGGCATTTTTCTTGAATTAGGATTAAAAGATAATTGAGGCCCGGTGTGGTGGTGCATGCCTGTAATCCCAGCACATTGGGAGGCTGAGGCGGGCAGATCATTTGAGGCCAGGAGTTCGAGACCAGCCTGGCCAAACTGCAAAACCCTGTTTCTACTAAAAATACAAAAAATAAGCCAGGCATTGTGGCACATGCTTGTAATCCCAGCTACTTGGGAGGCTGAGGCAGGAGAATTGTTTGAACCCTGGAGGCGAAAGTTGAAATGAACTGAGATGCTCCAGTATACTCCAGCTTGAGTGACAGAGTGAGATTCTGTCTCAAAAAAAAAAAAAAAAAAAGTGTCTTTCACATCATGTGATGTAATTTTGTTTTTTGAGGTGTCTTGCTCTGTCACCCAGGTTGGAGTGCGGTGGTGCAATCTTGGCTCACTGCAACCTCTGCCTCCTGGGTTCAAGTGATTCTCCTGCTTCAGCCTCCCGAGTAGCTGGGATTACAGGTGTGCGCCACCATGCCCGGCTAATTTTTGAATTTTAAGTAGAGACGGGGTTTCGCCATGTTGGCTAGCCTGGTCTTGAACTCCTGACCTCAGGTGATCCACCTGCCTCAGCCTCCCAAAGTGCTAGGATTACAGGCGTGAGCCACCGTGCCTGTCCGATTTAATATTAATGCCAAATAAAGTCTACTTAAGTGCCACTATAGTATGGTCCCCAATGTTGCAAAACCTTGTTCTGATCCAATAAAAAGGGACCACACAACTCAATAGAGGCAAAGCTGATTTTAACCCCCAGGGCTCTGGAACAGCAAACCAGTGCAACTCAACACATTTTTCTTGATTACATAAAAATATAGACCCTATTAGGCCATTCCCTGGCTTAAAATACTATGATGGCTGTCTGTTGCTTTTAGGATAAAATGGGGTCACCTTATTAATATGTCCTGCCTGACCCTCCTCAAAGAAGGCAAAATGTATCTGGATTTATTTTCATGTTTTAGCTGACAGACTTCTTGTGTTACGGTTTTAGAATGAAGCTCGTAAATTAAATCACCAGGAAGTTGTGGAAGAAGATAAAAGACTAAAATTACCTGCAAATTGGGAAGCCAAAAAAGCTCGTTTGGAGTGGGAACTACAGGAAGAAGAAAAGAAAAAGGTTAGGAACTGTTTTATCTTCATAAGTGATTTAGTCAATCATTCTGTTGTATCAAGACACTACAACATGGTGGTTGAATACACTGGCTCTTAGGCCAAGCTGCCAGAATTGAAATTCTGGTTCTGTTCAGTACCGACTGCGACACTTTGGGTGAGTTTATTTGACTTCTCTGTACCTCTGTTTTCTCATCAATAAAACAGGAACTGTAACAATAATTATTTGAGTTCATTATTAATTCAGTGAGTTAATGCATGTAAAACATTTAAAACAAGGTCTGACACCTGATTAACACTCAATAAGTATCATGTGCTCACTTATATACCATAGTGTATTCCCAGATTTCCTTTAAATACTATTACAGTGGCCGGGTGCAGTGGCTCATGCCTGTAATCCCAGCACTTTGGGAGGCTGAGGCAGGCAGATCACTTGAGGTCAGGAATTTGAGACCAGCCTGGCCAACATGGCGAAACCCCATCTCTACTAAAAATACAAAAATTAGCCGGTCATGGAGGCATGTGCCTGTAGTCCCAGCTAGTTGGGAGGCTGAGACATGAGAATCCCTTGAACCTGGGAGGTGGAGGTTGCAGTGAGCTGAGATCACACCACTGAGCTCCAGCCTGGGTGACAGAGCCAGTGAAACTCCAACTAAAAAAAATACTATTAAAATATTGGTTAATATTTATTGGATCTTTCTTGATGTAAAGTAGATGAAGTTATTGCTTGTATCATAATTGTAGGTGTCAGCTTTTTTCTTCTCTTTAGGAATGTGCATCAAGAGGAGAAGACTATGAGAAAGTGAAGTTGCTGGAGATCAGTGCAGAAGATGCAGAAAAATGGGAGAGGAAAAAGAAGAGGAAAAATCCTGATCTGGGATTTTCAGGTCAGATTGACCTTTATTGAACTTTATTGACTGGGCTGTTAGTCATTTCCTTCATTGTTTCTGGTTTCAAGAAAGGATGTGCCTCTTGTGCTTCATGGGATATTCTTGATGAGGCCCAAAGACCAAGAAAAGTACAAATACGTCTCTTAGGACAGAAGTTAAAAAAAAGGCTGTGCTTCAGTTAGCCGGATTTTTAAATACTTGATGGTAAAATTTATCAAAGTCTGTTTGTCAGCATCTTCAGGATAGAAGCTATGCTTAGAATAGTGTTTTGGGCATATATTACTTCACACAGATTGAGTGTCCCTTGTCTGAAAATCTGAAATCCAAAATGTTGCAAAATCCAAAACTGTTTGAGTGCCAACATGATGCTGTGATGCTCAAAGGAAATGCTGATTGGAGCATTTCAGATTTTGAATTTAAGTATAATGCAGATATTCCAAAATCTGAAAAAAATCGGAAACACTTCCGATTCCAAGCATTTTGGATAAACGATACTTACCTGTGATAATTTAGATTTTTCTCTCAATAGGAAGGTCCAAACAAGGAAATATATTATCTCAGATTCTGATTTTATATTTTTAGATTATGCTGCTGCCCAGTTACGCCAGTATCATCGGTTGACCAAGCAGATCAAACCTGACATGGAAACGTATGAGAGACTGAGAGAAAAACAGTGAGTCCTTTTTCATCCTGAGCTGATGTGGATATATTTGTGTGTTTGTGTTTGTGTGTGTGTATGTATACATAAATAGAAACATACTTCAATGCTAAGGTATGGGTTATTAATAGCTGTCTAAGGGTGGTCTCTGTTTTTTCTGGATTTTTTTTTCCTTTGAGACGGAGTCTTGCTGTCTTGCCCACGCTGGAGTGCACTGAATGGTGCAGTCTCAACTCACTGCAACCTCTGCCTCCTGGGTTCAAGTGATTTTCCTGCCTCAGTCTCCCGAGTAGCTGGGATTATAGGTGCCCGCCACCATGCCCAACTAATTTTTATATTTTTAGCTGAGATGGGGTTTCACCATGTTGGCCAGGCTGGTCTTGAACTCCTGACCTTAAGTTATCCGTCCACCTCGGCCTCCCAAAGTGCTGGGATTACAGGTGTGAGCTACTGTGCCTGGCCTTCCTTGCCTGGCCCTTCTGGTTTTTTTATTTTATTTTATTTTTTAAAGAGACAGTGTCTCGCTCTGTTGCCTAAGCTGGAGTGCATTGACACCATCATAATTCATTGTAACCTCAAACTTCGGCCTCAAGGGAGCCTCCCACATCAGCCTCCCCAGTAGCTAGGATTACAGGCATGTGCCACGATTCCTGGCTAATTAATTTTTTTGTAGAGACGGGATCTCACTGTGTTGCTCAGGCTGTCTCAAATTCCTGGCCTCAAGTGATCCTCTCTCTTTGGCCTCCCACAGGGTTGAGATTACAGGTGTGAGCCACTGTGCCAGGCCTAGTCTCTGTTTTGACAGCACTGTTTATTGCTTACTTCACAGCAATTAAATTAATCACCTGTTTTTTGTTTTTTGTTTTTTTCTTAACTGGGCATTCTAAGACTGGTTGTTGATTGGTTAACACTCTGATTGTTGTAGTTACTGAGATATTATTTTAGGAGGCAGAATGCTTTAGTGCTGGGGTTGGTAAACTTTTTCTGTGAAGGACCAGATAGTAAATATTTTCAGCTTTGTGAGCCATATAATCTCTGTCACAGCTACTCAGCTGTGCTGCTGCAGTGCAAAAGCGGCTGCAGAGGATTCATTTATGAATAAACAGGTGGTGGGCTGCTGTAGTTTGGCAGTTTGCTTTAGTGGAAAAGGAAATAACCTCAGGATGGAGCTCTAATCCCAACTCTGTCCCTAGCACTTTGTGACATCTGATAAGTCCTGGAGCCTCTCTGCCTGTTGGCTCTTTGATCTGTAGAGTGAAGGTGTTGGAGGAGTTGATGACTTAGGTTCCTTTCAATTCTGTAATTTTTTATTTTTTATTTTTATTTTTATTTTTTTTGAGACAGAGTCTTGCTCTGTCGCCCAGGCTGGAGTGCAGTGGCACAATCTCGTCTCACTGCATGCTCCACCTCTCAGGTTCAAGTGATTCTCCTGCCAAGTAGCTGGGATTACAGGTGCCCACCACCATGCCTGGCTAATTTTTTAGAGATGGGGTTTCACCATATTGGCCAGGCTGGTCTCAAACTCGTGACCTCAGGTGATGTGCCCACCTTAGCCTCCCAAAGTGCCTGGATTACTGGTATAAGCCACTGCACATGGTCCTATTTTTTTTTTTTTTTTTGAGATGGAGTCTTGCACTGTTGCCCAGGCTGGAGTGCAGTGGTGTGATCTCGGCTCACTGCAACCTCAGCCTCCCAGGTTCAAGCAATTCTCCTGTCTCAGCCTCCCAAGTAGCTGGGATTATAGGCACCCGCCACCACACCCAGCTAATTTTTGTATTTTTAGTAGAGACAGGATTTTGCCATCTTGGCTAGGCTGGTCTCAAACTCCTGACCTGGTGATCCACCTGCCTCAGCCTCCCAAAGTGCTGGGATTACAGGCGTGAGCCACCGTGCCCAGCCTCCACATGACCCTATTTTTATTCTTTTAATTACAAAAATTTTTTTTTTGAGACGGAGTCTCACTTTGTTGCCTAAGCTGGAGCACAGTGGGGCGATCTTGGGTCACTGCAGCCTCCACCTCCCGGGTTCAAGTACTTCTCCTGCCTCAGCCTCCCCAAGTAGCTGGGACTACAGGTGTGTGTCACCACGCCCAGCTAATTTTTAATATTTTTAGTAGAGACAGGGCTTTGCCGTATTGGCCAGGCTGGTCTTGAACTCCTGACCTCAAACGATCCACCTGCCTTGGCCTCCCAAAGTCCTGAGATTACAGACGAGAGCCGCTGCACCCAACCTGTATTTTTTTTAAAGAAAAAATTAAAGTAGGATCTCACAGTAAATACATGTGTATATTTTCTTTCTTATCGTGTATGGTAGTTTAGTTTGAAATTTGAAAATGGAGCATTTGCTGGGCGCAGTGGCTCAAGCTTGTAATGCCAGCACTTTGAGAGGCCGAGGTGGGCAGATCACAAGGTCAGGAGTTGTAATCCCAGCACTTAGGGAGGCCGAGGCAGGCGGATCACAAGGTCAGGAGTTCGAGACCAGCCTGGCCAATACGGTGAAACCCCGTCTCTACTAAAAATACAAAAATTAGCCGGGAGTGGTGGCGGACGCCTGTAGTCCCAGCTACTTGGAGGAGGGGGAGTGCCGAGGCAGCAGAATCGCTTGAACCCAGGAGGCGGAGGTTGTAGTGGGCCGAGATTGGGCCACTGCATCCAGCTTGGGAGACAGAGCGAGACTCCGTCTCAAAAAAAAAAAAAAATGGAGCATTTATAGTGTTACCATAAGTTCATTTTGCTGTCTTTTCAGTGGAGAAGAGTTTTTCCCAACATCCAATAGTCTTCTTCATGGAACACACGTGCCTTCCACAGAGGAAATTGACAGGATGGTCATAGATCTGGAAAAACAGTAAGCATTCAGTAGAGCAGCCTGAGATTGTAAATACTTCATGACAAAATGCACTTGGAATATGCACCTAAATCTGATGTGCTTAGAATGAATTCACAAGATAGAAATTATACTTGCTAATTTTTGACCTGTCTATAGTGGTTTGGGGATGCATAGCAAGTATGGGTTGAATATATCTGATTTGGAATGGAGATGCAGAATATTGATGAAATTGAATTGTTACTATTGAAGAGGAAAGGTCTAAAAAAATGATCCTTCTTTAAGTGTTTTACTTTAACAACCACTCCCCTGTTTGATTTGAAGAAGCAAGAATGTTGTAGTAAATGTTCTTCACTTAGGTTTGTGTTTCTTAATACTGATAGAGGTGACTATTAGGTAGAGCAGAATGAAAATATATTTTAAGAGTTAATACATGTAAAGTATTAAGAATAGTGTCCGGGCTGGGTGTGGTGGCTCCTGCCTATAATCGTAACACTTTGGGAGGCTGAGGCAGAAGGGTTGCTTGAGCCCAGAAGTTTGAGAACAGCCTGGGCAACATAGCGAAACCCTGTCTTTACAAAAAAAGAGAAAAACAAGAATTAGCTGGGCTTGGTGGTGTGTGCCTGCAGTCCCAGCTACTTGGGAGACTCAGTCAGGAGGATCACTTGAGTCCAAGAAGTGGAGGGTGCAGTGAACTGTGATTGCAGCACTGCACTCCAGCTTGGGCGACAGAGCGAGACCCTATCTCAGGAAAAAAAAAAAGTGTCTGGCACATATTATGCCCTCAGTATTAGCTGTGGTTATTATTTAATATAATTTTTTTTTTTTTTTTTTGAGAGAGTCTCACTCTTGCCCAGGCTGGAGCGCAGTGTCATGATCTCGGCTCACCACAGCCTCTGCCTTCCGGGTTCAAGTGATTCTCTTGCCTCAGCCTCCTGAATAACTGGGACCACAGGCGTGTGCCACCACTCCTGGCTAATTTTTGTATTTTTAGTAGAGACAGGGTTTTGCCATGTTGACCAGGTTGGTCTCAAACTCCTGGCCTCAGGTGATCCACCTGCCTTGGCCTCCCAAAGTGCTGGGGTTACAGGCATGAGCCACTGTGCCTGGCCTATTTAATATTGTTATAGTTATCTTCTTTTTTAGAAAATGTATTTAAATTTTTTTTTTTATAGTGATGGAGTCTCCCTATGTTGTCCAGGCCCTGGTCTGGAGCTCCTGGGCTTAAGTGATCCTCCCAGAGGACCTTTTGGGAGGCCTTGTCCTCCAAAAATAGTGGGATTACAGGCATGGGATTATAGCCGCCATGCCCAGCCAATAGTTATCTTCTTTTAAGTGGTTCTTCAGTACAGTCAAGTTCCCAACAAGGGATGATTGCTCTAGCATTCTGAAGGTGAATTTGTTGTATTTACTGGATTTCACAGTTCATATTCTGAGTTGTGCCATTAATTCAGTTTCAACTTGAATGTGATGAAAACTGGCCTGGTTTCCTCCAGCCCTCACAATGTGTGCTAGTCTAAATGTAGATTTTATTCCTGTTTGGTCACGTTTTATTAAGATCAAAAGAGAAGGCAATTTTGAATTTTGTAAATTTTCTTCTTTCTCCAGGATTGAAAAACGAGACAAATATAGCCGGAGACGTCCTTATAACGATGATGCAGATATCGACTACATTAATGAAAGGAATGCCAAATTCAACAAGAAAGCCGAAAGATTCTATGGGAAATACACAGCTGAAATTAAACAGAATTTGGAAAGAGGAACAGCTGTCTAATCCCTTCAAGAACTGTTTATAGAAGCTTGAGAATGGGGTAAAAATTTCTGCTAGCAAAATCAAGTTCTTTTTGAAATTTTATCAGTAATCCAGAATTTAGTAGTCTATGCCTTCTCACTCAGCATTTAGAAATAAAAATGTGATTTCTTAAACATATATCCTTTCATGTATATTTCCACATTTTTGTGTTTGGATATAAGATGTATTTCTTGTAGTGAAGTTGTTTTGTAATAATCTACTTTGTATACATTCTAATTATATTATTTTTCTATGTATTTTAAATGTATATGGCTGTTTAATCTTTGAAGCATTTTGGGCTTAAGATTGCCAGCAGCATACATCAGATGCAGTCATTGTTGCTATCATTGTGGAATTTGATAGAGTCTAGACTCAGGGGCCACTTGGGGTTATGGACTCCAAAGCCACGGACAGTAATGAGGAAGATGGCAGTGGCCACTGGAGGGCTGGAGCAGTCTCTCCTCATGGCGGCCTGTGACCGAGGTCAGGAAGGAGTGGAGCTATTCTCCCATGATACTGACCATGTGCAGTTCCCTTTTTAAAAAGCAATAAAATGCTTTGGATTAGAATTCCTAACATTTTAAATCTATTATTTAAAACAAGTATTTGTATGTATACATTCGTTCATACACATACATGCTTCCATTCTACAAACACTGAAGGAACGTTTTATTATGGAAAATTCCATACACCCAATACCCTTGGTGAATCCCATATACCCAGTACCCTGTTCAACAATCATCAACTCATGGCCAGTCCTGCTTCATCTTTATTTCCATTTACTTTCTTCATGACTCTTATTTTGATGCAAATACTAGATGTGTAATTTCATCTATAAATATTTTAGTATGTATCTCTGAAAGATAAAAACTTAAATGACCACAATACTGTTATCACTGCAATAGATATATTTTTATAAAACTCCAGATAGAAAGATTGCTGTTTTTTCTATATGTTGAATGAAATGCTAAATATCTAATTGGGACATTTTAAATTCAAAGAAGTCCGAAGCTCAGAAAATTTCAAATATTGGCTGGGTGCGGTGCCTCATGCCTGTAATCCCAGCGCTTTGGGAAGCTGAGGCAGGTGGATCACTTAAGATCAGGAGTTCGAGACCAGCCTGGCCAACATGGTGAAATCCCATCTCTACTAAAAATACAAAAATTAGCCGGGCGTGGTGGCGGGTGCCTGTAATCCCTGCACTTTGGGAGGCTGAGGCGGGAGAATTGCTTGAACCTAGGAGGCAGAGGTTGCAGTGAGCCGAGATCACGCCACTGTACTCCAGCCTGGGTAACAGAGCAAGACTCTGTCTCAAAAAAAATTCAAATACTTCAACTTTAGTGTTTAAAGGCAGCATAACATATGATGCCACTGGTGATTAATTATTCTCTTTAAATTAACAGCACTTTAGAAAAAATTTCTGTTCTCCCTTTGTTTCCTCTCCTGGCATTTTTTTTTTTTTTTTTTTTTTCATATCCACCTGCAACGTGAAAAAGGACATAACAGAAGGTTATTTATTTTTCTGTAGAGATGAGGTCTCACCATGTTGCCCAGGCTGGTGTCGAACTCTTGGGCTCGAGCTGTCTTCCTGCCTTGGCCTCCCCAAAGTGCTGGGATTACAGATGTGAGCCACTGAGCCCAGCTCCTCTCCTGCCATTTCTATGTGCATTTAATCACAGATCTATCACAAAGCCTTGATGCCTCTGAAAATACTTTGACTATGTTTCAATCTTTTTATTCCCATTTCCACTACCTTATGTCTTCTTTGATCCTGCATATCACAATAGCCTTAAAAAACACCTTAAAAATATTGTTGAATAGAATATGGCAATGTATTTAAAGGAACAATTGACTGTGACTCAGCAGGGTTTGTTCTAAGAACGCAAGAGTAGTGTGTAGTCTATGAGTTGCCTGGTTTAATTTGTTTTATGAGACAGTCTCGCACTGTTGCCCAGGCTGAAATGCAGTGGCATGATCTCAGTTCACTGCAACCTCTGCCTCCCAGGTTCAAGTGATTCTCCTGCCTCAGCCTCCTGAGCAGCTGGGACTACAGGCACGCGCCACCACGCCCGGCTAATTTTTGTATTTTTTTGGTAATTTTTGTATTTGTGCCCGGGGTTTCACCATGTTGGTCAGGCTGGTCTTAAACTCCTGACCTTGTGATCTGCCTGCCTCTGCCTAATTTAATTCTTTATTACCAACCAGCACCCAGATTTTTTTGTGAATTTGTTGTAATATTTCCAGGTAAACGCTTGGTTCCCCAGGGCGACTATTATAGGTGGTCAGATGTTATAATTCTGGCTAATAGGACACAAGCTAAATTTATCTTGAGAAACCTTTTCTTTCCTGATATGGGAAGAGGTGGCTACTTCTCCCTTTCTCCTTCCTTCCTCCTTGGATCACATCCAGGAGGCCTGGAGTTGTAGAAGCCCTTTTGTGTCATGAAGTAGCAAGCATGAGGACAAAAGTCAGCATGAAGAGGAGAGTGGAGCAGAGCTTGGTTTGCAGTGCTGAGCCTCTGCACCTAGATGCTCACTTCTTTTACACTTACTTGCTGTTGAATAAATTTATTAGGTTGGTGCAAAAGTAGTTACGGTTTTTGCCATTACTTTTTTTTTTTTTTTTTGAGGTGGAGTCTCGCTGTGTCACCCAGGCTGGAGTGCAGTGGCACAATCTCGGCTCACCGCAACCTCCACCTCCCAGGTTCCAGTGATTCTCCTGTTTCAGCCTCCTAAGTAGCTGGGATTACAGGCATCTGCCACCACGCCTGGCTAATTTTTGTATTTTTAATAGGGATGGGATTTCGCCATGTTGACCAGGCCTGTCTCAAACGCCTGACCTCAGGTTGTCCGCCAGCCTCAGCCTCCCAAAGTGCTGGGATTACAGGCGTGAGCCACCATGCCCAGCCTTTGCCTCTACTTTTAATAGCAGAAACCTCAATTATTTTTGTGCTAGCCTACCCAAGGATGGTTCAATTTCAGGGCAAATGTCAACAAATTAAATGTAAATGATAGCAAACAATAGTTTTTCTCCACTCTAGAAATAAGTACCTAGAAATGGAGAAGGGGGGGAAATAAATAGTCCACTTATAATAGCAACAAAAATGATATTCAGGCACAAATTTAATGAGAAAGCGCAGGATCTATGTAAAGAAGATTATAAAATCTGATTGAGTAAACAAGGCCAGGCACAGTGGCTCACACCTGTAATCCCAGCACGTTGGGAGGCTGACGCGGGTGGATGACCTGAGGTCAGGAGTTTGAGACCAGCCTGGCCAACATGGTGAAACCCTGTATCTACTGAAAATACAAAAATTATCCAGGTGTGGTGACACGCGCCTGTAATCCCAGCTACTCGGGAGGCTGAAGCAGGAGAATCGCTTGAACCCGGAAGGCAGAGGTTGCAGTGAGTTGAGATTGCACCACTGCACTCCAGCCTGGGTGACAAGAGTGAGACTCAGTCTCAACAGCAACAACAACAACAACAAAAACAGAGTAAATAGGAGACTTCTGCATCAATCCAAGATAGACTAACAGAGAATGGGTTTACCTTCCCAGTGGAACAACCAAAAAAACAAAAAACAAAAAAACAAAAAAGGATGGCATGTATGAAACAGCAGTTTTCAAGATACTGGAAATGAGACATGGAAGAAGAGTGACACCCGGGGGAAAGCCAGCTGTGATCACACCAGCTTGCTGTCTTTGGAGAACTTTTAGGCTGTGGTGTGTGGAGAGAACCCAGAGGAGCCCAGTAGACACCCTTAGTTAAGAGCTAGAGCTGAAAGTCTAGAGGAACCAAGGCAAGAGCTCGCAGTACAGAGCACTGGGGAGAAGAGAGCTACAGGGATGTCTTTAGAGGGTCCCCTCAAATACCAGGCAGCGTACTGATCAGCATGGGTATACAAGGAACTCCGAAAGGCGAGGGAAAGAACCACCTGAAAGGATTAGAGGGGATAGTACCTGGCACTCATGGCCAGGAATAGTGCTTTCCCCACCAGCCAGAATGGAAAAGTTCACAATTCACGGGGCATTGGGTAGAATACTGAGAAGGTTCTTGCCTCAGCAGTGGAAAATAATTAGCCCTAGGCTAAACACTGCTTGAGTCTTGCCCAGAAAATCTTCAAAGACCTGAAAGAATCCAACTGTTTGCAAATAATTTAGCTGCATTCCAGAACAAAGACTAAGAATAATTATAAAGAAACACAGAAACCTTCAGTACCCGAGAACGTCACATTCACAATGCCCAGCATCTCATAAGAGAAAAAGGAAAATAGGACCCATAAGGTGAAGAAAAATCAATCCATCTAACCAAGAACTGACACAAATGTTAGAAGCAAGGAAATTAAAAGTTATCACTGTACTCCATATGATCGAAAAGTTAAAAAGAGACACGGGATACAAAAAAGACCCACACTGAGATTCTAGACATGAACACCACAATTTCTGAGATAGGAAATGTACGGCATGGATTTGACTGCAGATGACATATCACAGAAGAGATTAACGAAGATATAGCACAGAAACCATCCTACGTGAAGCACAGAGAGTAAAAAGAATGAACAAATAGGAACAAAGCCTCCGTGAATCGTGGGATTCTGTACATGTGATCTGGAGTTCCTCAAAGGTAGGAGGGCAGACGCTGCTCCCCGTGGAAGGCTCTGGATCTCAAATCTGATCACTGTTCAAATATGAGCAAATATAAGAGGTATACAAAAGATACGTTAGCACCAAGTTGAGGCTTTCTCCTGGGCACTGAATGGGCAAGAGTGAGGAAGAACTGCAAAGGGCCTACTCAGGTGTGCCTACCTGCGAGACACATCTAACCCTTTGGAAAATGCTGTGCCCACAGAATGGAGAGCTTTTATTTCAGTCCTTCCTAACCTATCCATGGGACTGACAAAATTGGGCACCTACACAAGGAAACAAGGCCTATTTGCAGGGAGGTACAGGAGAGTGGTGGAAATGGAAATGGGGGTATTCTCTCTCTCTCTAGGTGGATGTGGCTGGGGACAGGGACGATGTTAGGCCACCCTTGACTCTCACCTGACTGCTGCTGGGTCCTCGTCAGTCATTGCTTATTCCAAGGGAAGAAGGGCGGCTGTGTTCGCCCTCAACTGCAACAGTCCCAGCTAATTCTGCTCCTCTCATGGTGCTCCCCTCTGCCCTGCTCCTGCCCATCAGGGCAGGGTAGCCTCCCCATGGACCCTTTTTCTCCAAGGTGTGACATCTTGGTGAAGATGCCTTCCTCATTAGACCACTTATTTTAAAGACCTCTTCAGAGATGTGGGGGCTTCATTACGACTTGACTCAACACGGTTCTCTCACTCGGAGGCGCAGTTGCACAGCTTTCGGCCAGGTGGTGGAGCTGAGCACAACCGAATGGTCTCATCGTTAGAATGGCTTGCAGTAGAGCATCATGTTCTGGGATGACTCTGGAGGGAGTGTGCCCCACTGGAATTCTCTTCAGGCCTTGGTGACATGGGGGCGATGATAATACTAACCTCATGGAATTGTTGTTGGGAGTAAGTGGCTAATCCATGGGAAGTGCTTCTCGAGGTGGGCTGGTGCAGAGTCAAT